TCTCTGCCTGTCTCTCTGTTATCTTGTTCTTGTACTCATCACCACGGAGTGAGGTCATGCTCAGACTAAGTTGTCTGGGGCCTAAGGGAAAGACACTGAGTGAAGAGTAACCTTACACTGGCCGTCCAAACTCCAAACACACACACGCAGATGAACAGCTCTCACCCCCCATGCTGTCACAGCCTAATCTCCTTTGAGCTCTTCCACCAAGCAAGGACAATGAGTCATATTTCTCAGAGTTTTAAGAACACAATGACGGCCAATAAGAAGAGGCTAAGACATAATGCATGGCCTTTGGAGATAATGTTGACTTTAAGATTGGCACTTTGAAGTCGTCATGCAAAACCAGAATAAAGTCGTAGGAGAAGATACATTAGAGGAGAAGCACACTATCGCCAAATTTACATTGCAGAGGTGGCACAGAGCTGCTTCTGAAGTGGCATTTAAGTGTCTTTACACAGCCTGTTTAAGGTGGCGTAAATGCATTTACACAGATACAAATACAACTGTATGCTTTGATACTAGAGGCTGAGGTGGCTCGAAGCAAGTTTAATTTAGTCTGGCTTTTGTGCGGCATTATATATTTACACAGAATTTTGAGCAGGCTCAGAGCAGCCTTAACTCGGCTGTGTAAAGATGTGTTATTTAGAGGACCTCACTACATGGACAGGATTTTGCAGCACATTTCTAACAGGAAGGCTGTTACAAACAGTAGGTAGAAAATGATGCTGTCTTCAACAGGCATCTGAGTTAAGGCTGCTCTGTGCCTGCTCAAAATTCTGTGTAAATATGCAGTGCCGCATAAAAGCCAGACTAAATTATGAATGCTCCTACTTACCTCAGCCCCTTAGTATCAAAGTACTGTATAAAGCTGCAATTGCTGTGTAAATGCATTTATGCCATCTCTGAGCAGCATTAAACAGTCTGTGTAAGACACCTATGCCAAATTTACACCGCAAAGGTGGCACAGAATTGCTTCTGAAGTGGCATTTAGGTGTCTTTATACAGACTGTTTAATGCTGCTCAGAGGTGGCATAAATGCATTTGCACTGCATTTACAACTGTATGTTTTGATAGTAAGGGGCTGAGGTGGATCTGAGAAGGCAATATTTAGTCTAGCTTTAATGTGGCATTGCATCCTTATGCTAAATTTTAAGCAGGCACACAGCAGCCTTAAATCAGCTGTGTAAAGACGCCTAAATGTATAAAGGTGTAATTGCTGCGTAAAATGCATTTATGGCACCTCTGAGCAGCATTAAACAGACTGTGCAAAGACTAAATGGCAATTCAGAAGCGCTTTTGTGCCACCTTTGCTGTGTAAATTTGGTAAGAGCCTTATTTTAGTAAAATATTAGACGGCATTGGTGTTTTTATTCTTAACTTAAAATTTTCGTTAATTGAAATAAAGCTGAAAAATGAAATATTTAAAAAAAGAGTAAAGCAAAAAACATTATATTAACTTAAATTGATGTTATTTCAGTTAGTTGCCAAGGACATATTTCTCATTTACATTTAAAGTACTAATTTACTAAAACCGATATAAAATAATTTAAAACCGTATAAAAATGAAAAAAAAAAAGACAAAAGCACAAAAAATTGCTAAAACCTTATCAAATATTGAAGTAAATGCTGAAAATATAAAAATTAAATTCTAAATATAAATAAATACTGCAAAAGTATATAAATACAGTGCCCCGCAGGTCCTTAAAAAGTCTTACATTTTTGTTTTATTTATTTAGAAATTATTTTTAGTTTTTTATTTTTTTATTTAAGGTTATAAGTATATAAAAGAAATATAATCAAGCATAACAGAATTCTTAATTATCGTTGTAAGTGGTCTTAAATTTTGGGATGGGACAGGAATTATGACCTAATGTGATTGTTAAACTTCAAAAGCTTGTGATATAATTAAATAAATGTGAAAAAATGTAAAACAACCAATACTGGTCCACCTCTCATTTGTATTGATATATTGATACAAAAACAATTTCAAAACATATATTTACTGAATAAAACGTGTAGAGTATTGCCAGACTAACTTGCACCCTGTTTTGCTGATTAGCAGTAATAAGTCATTGAATGTGTGCCGCAACCTGCTTAATTAAGTGAAACAAACAATCCACATGATTTATTTACAGATTGTTTAGAGTTTACTGAGGTGAGTTAATTATAAGCATGAGTTTCCTATTATTCCATGCAGGTTCTTTGGCATCTCGATATCTTCAGACGGAGTCTTCGTCAGCTTCCAAACCACTACTGCTTGGGCGACTCCTGCATCTTTTGCGCTTTGAAGGTATTCTCATGACCAAACACATCATGAAGCGGTATTTAATACTTTCTTTAAAAAGATGTTATAGTGTCAAAAGTTTGAAAGCACTTCATGTTCGTTTTGCAGGGAATATTCTGTCAGTTCCAGCACAGCCGAGAGCGAGCGTTACCCTCAGATAACCTGCGTAATGCCCTAGCCGAAACCTTTAAGGATGAGCAGCGCTTTCAGTTAGGCTTCATGGATGATGCTGCTGAGTGCTTCGTAAGTGTCTTTGTGTGTATTTTTGTATTTTATATTATAAGTGTGTGTGTGTGTGTGTGTGTGTGTGTGTAATTTTTTTATAATTTATTTAATTTTTATGTATTTAGGTGGGTGATATAGCTACAAAAAAAAGATAATTTGATAATATAGACATTTGATATAGCCCAGTAATACATAATACTGAATAGAATATAAAATTAAAAAGTATCTTTTTATTTATTATAAAAAAATATTTTATTTATTTAATTATATATATATATATAATATGCATTCCAATCAATGCAACATATCATACATTTGATATAGCCCAGTAATACATGCAATATTATGAAAATAGGAAATTAAACTGAGTAAACATATTTTTAACATTTAAAATTTTTGATTTTGCAGTCTGCTGGTTGTGTTTGGCAATGAGACCTCTCCAAATTTTTGACAATTTGTCACTTAAGCATATATGGATAATATCCAATCTTAATTTAATGTGGTAATTTTTTATTGTGGTCTTTTATCGAGAAATAAAAGGGAAGCTTCAAAACCGATTTCCAAATTAAGCTCAGTTGCCATAGTGTGCATTATGCACAGCACAGATCATGCACCCTTGTCCTAGTGTCTCTGTCTCTTTCTGGAAAGCTGAAGTAAGCATGTTCACCCTTCCGGTATGTGCAGGATTTCTCTTAGGGCCGCCTAATTGCAGTAAACCTGCTTAGCACTGGGACCTGTAATCATTTTCTGTTTAGCACAGCAGGACTGTGGAGAGTCTGTCATTACCTCAGTCAAAGTCCATTTACAGTGCTCCCTTAAACAACATAATCAATAAAGGATCTCTATCAATGCAAGCCTGGAGTGCACAAATGCATTCACACTGCTCTCTCAGTCAATGCAGGCTCTCTATCAGCGCTCGGGGTAGATCATGCATCCAATGCTTTTGTCTATTTGTACAAGTTGCCCTGAGCCAGGACAGGGCAAATAAGCTCATCTGTACTGTAGAAACAAAATTAATCTTGCCTCTTTTCAAAACTGCAAATTGTCTCAGTGCTGTTGGTGTTACTGAATGTGCCGATGGTTCTCGGGTTTAAAAGGGTGTATTTAAGCAGATAATAGGCTTGGGGGAAATTACTAAAGCTTAGAGTGCATTCTCTTAATGCCAAGGTATCATTGTACCAGCGCTGCGTAAAATGCATTTATGGCACCTCTGAGCAGCATTAAACAGACTGTGCAAAGACTAAATGGCAATTCAGAAGCGCTTTTGTGCCACCTTTGCTGTGTAAATTTGGTAAGAGCCTTATTTTAGTAAAATATTAGACGGCATTGGTGTTTTTATTCTTAACTTAAAATTTTCGTTAATTGAAATAAAGCTGAAAAATGAAATATTTAAAAAAAGAGTAAAGCAAAAAACATTATATTAACTTAAATTGATGTTATTTCAGTTAGTTGCCAAGGACATATTTCTCATTTACATTTAAAGTACTAATTTACTAAAACCGATATAAAATAATTTAAAACCGTATAAAAATGAAAAAAAAAAAGACAAAAGCACAAAAAATTGCTAAAACCTTATCAAATATTGAAGTAAATGCTGAAAATATAAAAATTAAATTCTAAATATAAATAAATACTGCAAAAGTATATAAATACAGTGCCCCGCAGGTCCTTAAAAAGTCTTACATTTTTGTTTTATTTATTTAGAAATTATTTTTAGTTTTTTATTTTTTTATTTAAGGTTATAAGTATATAAAAGAAATATAATCAAGCATAACAGAATTCTTAATTATCGTTGTAAGTGGTCTTAAATTTTGGGATGGGACAGGAATTATGACCTAATGTGATTGTTAAACTTCAAAAGCTTGTGATATAATTAAATAAATGTGAAAAAATGTAAAACAACCAATACTGGTCCACCTCTCATTTGTATTGATATATTGATACAAAAACAATTTCAAAACATATATTTACTGAATAAAACGTGTAGAGTATTGCCAGACTAACTTGCACCCTGTTTTGCTGATTAGCAGTAATAAGTCATTGAATGTGTGCCGCAACCTGCTTAATTAAGTGAAACAAACAATCCACATGATTTATTTACAGATTGTTTAGAGTTTACTGAGGTGAGTTAATTATAAGCATGAGTTTCCTATTATTCCATGCAGGTTCTTTGGCATCTCGATATCTTCAGACGGAGTCTTCGTCAGCTTCCAAACCACTACTGCTTGGGCGACTCCTGCATCTTTTGCGCTTTGAAGGTATTCTCATGGCCAAACACATCATGACGCAGTATTTAATACTTCCTTTAAAAGGGTGTTTTAAAGTCAAAAGTTTGAAAGCACTTCATGTTCGTTTTGCAGGGAATATTCTGTCAGTTCCAGCACAGCCGAGAGCGAGCGTTACCCTCAGATAACCTGCGTAATGCCCTAGCCGAAACCTTTAAGGATGAGCAGCGCTTTCAGTTAGGCTTCATGGATGATGCTGCTGAGTGCTTCGTAAGTGTCTTTTTTGTATTTTTGTGTATTTTAGATTATAAAAATGTGTGTGTGTAAAATTTTATATATAATTTGTTATTATTTCTTTTATTTTTAGTTATTCAGGTGGGTAATATAGCTACAAAATGTTTTTATGTTTAAATATATATATATATATCACACTCTTTAGGAAACACAGTGAACAAATAAAAAGTGCATTACAATCAATGCAACATATCAGACATTTGATAGAGCACCGTAATGCTTGCAATATAATGTAAATAGAAAATTAAACAGTATAAACATCTTATTAATTTTATCAGTCTTTTTGATTTTGCAGTCTGCTGGTTGGCAATGTGACCTCTCCAAATTTTAGACGATTTGTCACTTAAGCATACATGGATAATATCCCATCTTAATTTAATGTGGTAATTTTTTATTGATGTCTTTTATAGAGAAATAATATGGAAAACTGATTTCCAAATTAAGCTCAGTTGCCATTATGTGCATTATGCACAGCACAGATCACACACCCTTGCCTTGGAAGCTGAAGTAAGCATGTTCACCCCTTCGGTATATGCAGGATTTCTCTTAGGGCTACCTAATTGCAGTAAACCTGCTTCGCACTGGGACCTGTAATCATTTTCTGTTTAGCACAGCAGGACTGTGGAGAGTCTGTCATTACCTCAGTAAAAGTCCATTTACAGTGCTCCCTTAAACAACACAATCAATGAAGGATCTCTATCAATGCAAGCCTGGAGTGCACAAATGCGTTCACACTGCTCTCTCAGTCAATGCAGGCTCTCTATCAGCGCTCGGGGTAGATCATGCATCCAATGCTTTTGTCTATTTGTACAAGTTGCCCTGAGCCAGGACAGGGCAAATAAGCTCATCTGTACTGTAGAAACAAAATTAATCTTGCCTCTTTTCAAAACTGCAAATTGTCTCAGTGCTGTTGGTGTTACTGAATGTGCCGATGGTTCTCGGGTTTAAAAGGGTGTATTTAAGCAGATAATAGGCTTGGGGGAAATTACTAAAGCTTAGAGTGCATTCTCTTAATGCCAAGGTATCATTGTACCAGCCCAAACAAATTCAGTGTGATTAGGTCATGTAAAACAAGAAATTGTTGTTTTCATGTCTATGAATCTGTGACATAATAAAGTTTTGTTTATATATATATATATATATATATATATATTATAAACAAATTTGT